CCAGCAGGACGGCAGGACGGAAGTCACCGCGGAGCCCACAGCAGCGTCACCACCAGAGCCTTTGGCAGGCGAAGACCGCCTTTTGTCAGGATAGCTTGTACTAGTTGTCCCCCTTCAAACTTGGCCGTCGTTGGATCCCTTCCCGCCTAACATTTGGGAAGAGGATCAGGGCCTCTATAAATAGGGCTAGCCACCACCGTAGCAACGGACGGATCATTCAGACCATCCTCACACACACCAGCTCATCAAGCTCAAGAACACCTCTCCTCAGGAGGCAGTTCATCCATTGTACTAGTTCATCCCTAGCCCTCGAGGCAATCCACCACCACACTGGAGTAGAGTATTACACCACAACGGTGGCCTTAACCAGTATAAACCTCTGTATCTCGTGTTCCTTGGGTTCATCGAGCTAGGCCGTGGGATTGTCAAGCGAGCGAACTAGAGAGGAGGAATATTTCGTGTGCACCCCTATGTTTGAACCTCAAGGGTTAGCCGAAACCCACGATCCGACAGCGGAGGATAAGGTTGAAGTCGCCGCACGGCATCCATGGCCCTGGGTAGGCCGTGCGGATCTCCCGCAGCTCTTGCAGGAACGCGATTTTGTCCGTGTCGTCCTGAGGTCCATACACGACCGATAGCCACCAGGGCGTGCCCGTGGGCATGGTCACCGTGGCAGTGAGGGCATTCGTGGTGAACAGAGGGTTCGTGATAGACACAACCCTGCTCTTCCTTGCCAAAAGAATGCCATCTCTTGTGCCATTCGCCGGGAGATATGTGTAATCGTCGAATTTCGAGCCAAGTGTGTCGAGCACGACAGACGAGCAGAGCAATTCCATCTTTGTTTCCTGCAGACATACAATGGAAGCAGCAGTGGGTGTCCAACAGCGAGCGGGCGGCAAAGCGCCGAGCACGTGCGTTCAGGCCACGCACATTCCACGCCGCTATCTTAAGGCCGTGATCCATGAACACCGGATCGACGGGCAAGATGATGTGCCTCTCCTAGGCTTCACATGCAACCTCAACGCGTGCCGGCGTGGTCGGCAGGTTGGTCAGGCACTTCGGGATCTCTCGGTCGACCAGGGCGGCAATGGCCTTGAGTACAGCGAGTGGGATGGGCGTCGCAAACATGCCCTCGTAGGTTTGCATCTCGGAAGATGTGATCTTATGGTTTGTCCCGATGATCCCCAGGGTGCGCAAGATCTGCACGTGCGCGCGTCTTTCAGCCGCTGGGGGCGCCGCCGTCGGAAGGAAGTGGCCGCAGAGCGGCCACGGCGGGGGGCAAAGTTCAGGGGCCTACGCGGCCTCCTCCCGGGCATAGGCAAGGCCGCGGTGATGTGCTTGGTTGCCGCGGCCAGGAATTCTCCCAGCTGGTCTAATAACACCTAGTTTAAGCCCTTTTGCCTCTCCTGTTCTATTGGTGAAGAAGGATGGCACTTGGAGATTTTGTGTGGACTACAGAAAACTCAATTCTCTAACTATCAAAAGCAAATTTCCTATGCCAGTGATTGATGAGTTACTGGATGAATTATGAGGCACTAAGTGGTTTTCTAAGTTGGATCTTAGGTCAGGATATCATCAGATCAGAATGACAGAAGCAGATGAATTCAAAAACAGCACTTAAAACACATAATGGACAGCATCAGTTTAAAGTCATGCCTTTTGCCCATGATTGATGAGTTACTGGATGAATTATGAGGCACTAAGTGGTTTTCTAAGTTGGATCTTAGGTCAGGATATCATCAGATCAGAATGACAGAAGCAGATGAATTCAAAACAACACTTAAAACACAAATGGACAGCATCAGTTTAAAGTCATGCCTTTTGGGTTGTTTACTGCCCCAGCAACTTGCCAATGCTTTATGAATTTCATATTTGCAGGTCCCAACAGGAAGTATGTTTTGGTCTTCATGGATGATATATTAGTATACAGTGAAACTCTAGAAGAGCATTTGAAACATCTGCAATCAGTGTTTGATAAACTACAAGAGCATAAGCTGTTTGTGAAGGAAAGTAAATGCTCTTTTGCTCAACAGAGCATGGAGTATTTGGGCCACATTATTTCAGATGCTGGAGTTACTACTGATCCAACAAAGACTGCTGCCATGGTGGACTGGCCCACTCCCACAAGTGTCACTGAGTTAAGGGAATATTTAGGGCTCACTGGATATTACAGGATTTTTTTCCAGAATTATGGGTTACTGGCTAAACCACTGACAGCTCTTCTCAAGAAACAGGCCTTCCAGTGGATGGACACAGCCCAGAGAGTTTTTCAATTGTTGAAACAAGCAATGGCTACTAGTCCAGTTCTGGCATTACCAGATTTCAACAAATCCTTTACTGTGGAAACAGATGCTTGCAATACTGGTATTAGGGCTTGTGCTTACACAAGAGGGCCATCCCATAGCTTATTACCACAAGGCCTTGGGGGTTAACAGCCAAAAGGTTTCCATATATGAGAAGCAATTTCTAGCTATAATGATGGCCATTGACAGGAGGAGATCTTATCTGTATAGAGCTCCTTTTGTGATTAAAACTGATAACCAGAGTCTTTGCCACTTGGGAGATCAAAATTTGACTTCTGATTTGCAAAGGAAGGCTATGACAAAACTGGTTGGCTTACAGTTCTCTATACAGTACAAGAAAAGAGTGGAGAACACAGCAGCTGATGCTCTTTCCAGGGCGGCACGTTTGTTTTCAGTCCAGGCAATGTCCACTAGTAAACCTGTCTGGGCGCAAGAAATTTTGAATTCTTACACAGTAGATCCTGCTGCTCAAGTACTGCTTCAGAAATTGGCTTTGGATGCTAATCCCTGGATAACAGTTGCAAGAGGGGCTGATTAAACATGAGGATAAAATCTGAGTGGGGGCAAATGCTGGGCTCCAAACCAAGTTAATCCAGGCTTTTCATTCC